CCAGGATGAACATTTCCCATCAACCACCACCCTCTGTCTTCTTACAGTTAGCCAATTTCTGATCCAGACCGCTAAATCACCCTCAATCCCATGCCTCCGTATTTTCTGCAATAGCCTACCGTGGGGAACCTTATCAAATGCTTAACTGAAATCCAAATACACCACATCAACCGCTTTACCCTCATCCACCTGTTTGGTCACCTTCTCAAAGAACTCAATAAGGTTTGTGAGGCACGACCTACCCTTCACAAAACCGTGTTGACTATCCCTCATCAAATTATTCTTTTCTAGATGATTATAAATCCTATCTCTATAATCCTTTCCAACACTTTACCCACAACCGAAGTAAGGCTCACTGGTCTAAAATTACCAGGGTTGTCTCTACTCCCCTTCTTGAACAAGGGGACAACATTTGCTATCCTCCAGTTTTCTGGCACTAAGGTACAGAGTAAAGCTCCCACTACTCTTTTTTTTAAAAATGCAATTAAAGGTTCCTCCACTCTTTAAAAATGAAAGTAAATGTCCCTCTTACTGTTCTCATAAAACACTTTCAGGACAGCAACAGCTCAATGTAGGCTAGAGGTACACAGTTCCAATGTGCAGCTCTCATCTTCCTGTGTTGACCATTTCTGGAGTAATACTGACCCTGATGATGTTGCTGTTTGAGCTAGTTTGTGGAATAGTGTTGAAATCTGACATGTGTTTGTCACCAGGTCCTTCATTCCCGATGAGTACATGGTGTGGTGCCCGGAGCAACTGCTGCAGTGTGTGCTGGCCCACATCCACTACATGCCTGACCACTGGAAAGGAAATGCCAATAAATCAGAGACCAGGGATGAGATGGCTCAGCTGTTCCAGTACAAAGCGGTACGTTAATGTCAGAATGCATCACACTGCTTGGGCAAGTGGGAAAGTGTGAGGCTTCGAGCATAGAGTCTGACTGACCCTCAAAGGGACGTTGGGGTGAGTCTGACTGACCCTTGATCTATTGGTGTTTTCCAGGTGTTTATTCTGGAGGAGTTGCTCAGTCCCATCATCACTCCATTTGTGCTGATCTTCTCCTTGCGTCCGAGATCTCTGGAGATCATTGACTTTTTCCGGAACTTCTCAGTGGAGGTGGTGGGAGTGGGTGATATCTGCTCCTTTGCACAGATGGATGTTCGGAAACACGGGAACCCAATGGTATGCGTGAGCTACAGTTGTCGATATTGCAGCCAGCTGGCTAATAGTGTGTGTAGCTGTGTCCTTCACTCATATTCACGTTGGCCGGGTGGTTGACAGTCAGGAAGAAGGTTTTAGCTTACAGGAAGATATCAACAGATTGGTCAGGTGGGCAGATCACTGGTGACAGATTGAATTCAAAACTGGGAAGTGTGAGGTAATGCACCTTGGAAGAAGTAACAAGACATGAGAGTACTCAATGAATGGCAGGACATTAGGGAGCTCACAGCAACAGAGAGAGATCTTGGGGTGTTTATCCATGGATCCCTGAAGGCAGCAAGTCAGGTTTATTGGGTAGTTAAGAAGGTATACGGGACACTTGCTTCTATCAGTCGTGGCATAGATAAGAGCAGGGAGGTTATGTTGGAGCTGTACAAAACTTTGGTTAGGCCAAAGCTGGAGTACTGTGTGCACATCTGGTCCCCACACTATAAAAAGGGTGTGATTGTACTGGACAGGGTGCAGAGGAGATTCACCAGGATGTGGCCTGGAATGGGGAGCTTCAGCAATGAAGAGACTGGATGAGCTCTGGTTGTTTTCTTAAGAGCAGAGAAAACTGAAGGGACATGATAGAAGTGTTTAAGGTTATGAGGGGGCGTGAACAGGGTGAGTTGAAAGCATCTGCTCCCCTTAGTTGAAAGGTTAATACAAGAGAATAAATTTTAAGGTGAAAGGCAGGAGATTTAGAGGGGATTTCAGGAAGTTTTTTTTGCCCCAGAGGGAATCTGGAATGCACTGCCTAGGAGGGGAACTGAGGCAGGATATCTCACAACCTTTTTAAAAAAAAAATGCTTGGATGTGCATTTGAAATGTCACAACATTCAAGGCTATGGAAAGCAGGACTAGCGTAGATTTAGAGTAGGTTTTTTACAGTGCTGTTTTGTTTGATTTTATGATACCAGCTGATCTTATTGCTGGGCATGTCAGATTTGACACTGAAATCTGACTTCAGTAGATGAAGATGCAATTTTTAACAATAAAATAGAAGTTTATCACACACAAGAAATGAAAATCTAAAAAGAATAAACCAAACTCTTTATACACAACACCCAGTTTAAAGATTTCAAGATACAGGACAAACTACAATCTTATTGATCCCAACATTTATAGTACTCAGATACCAAAGAGAATTTCCAGCTCTCTCAAATCAAAAGGGTTTAACACTTCCCCATCATTAGAATCTGAAAGCCTCTTCACTGAGTCTTCATGTAATTGAACTTAGACTTTCTCAGCTTCAAATGACCCCTTCAGTATTTTAATTAAACACTCTGATCTGGAACTTTCAAACTAAACTCCTTACATTGAGGTAACCTATTTCTCAACACTGCTAAATGACCCCGTTTCTTCACTTACAGTTCTCTGACAATCCAACTTCAGTCAAGACTCTGCAAAACTGAGAACCAAAAGGGTTTTCCAAACTGTGGGTGTTTCCCCTGAGTGAAAAACAATTCCAGATTCTTACAACAAACCTACTGCACAACTGTTCACTCTGTTTATCGTAAAACTCAGTCAATGCAAACAAAACCCAATTAGGCTCCAAGAACCACCTCTCATGCTGTTTTCAAAAGAGATCACCATGGCAACAGCAATACTTACAACTTAATCATTAAACCTCTTCAAACCCACAGAAAGCCCACCAGTACAAAATCCAAAAATACATGTTAAGTGTGGATAAATCATACACTTTACATCACAGAGCATATTGAGGAAATTGCTGCCATTTGCATTAACAAAAGATGATTGCATAGGTTCCTTTAAAGATAAACTCTCTGGATTTCAACATTCCCATATACACTGCTTCCCAGGGGGCAGGACCAGCAAGGAGAAAGCCTGGGTATAATCTTGTCAGAATGATCCAACGTTGGGTGTGAACTTTTCTTTGTTTAAGGGAATGTGTGGGTATTATTGATGAAACCAATGCTGACTGCCTGACCTGAACTCCATTGAGAACCGTAGATCCTTGAGTTTGAATAGTTTGATATTGGAGATGAGTGTATCCAGGCGTGATGATGGGAATTTTTTTTTTTGCAGTGGCTCTCAGAAGGCCAGACAGAAGCCTCGGTGTACCAACAGGCAGAGAATGGGAAAACTGAACTCTCCCTCATGCACTTCACCATCACCAATCCACACTGGCACCCACCTCAAGACAGCTCCGTCTTCATTAGTCACCTGAAGGAGAAGGTACAACATGATGCAGCCACTGGTCCACCTGCCCAGCATCTCCTGTCCGACACACCGCTCTGCAACTCCCTGCTCTCCAACGAGTCAACAAATATTGTAAGTGTATGTATTTTAAGATCATCGAAATATCAGGGAAGGATATTTGGGTTAGATAAAGAGTGTGGAAAGAAATCTGACCCCTGCACTTTGAGTCCCTACCAGCACTCCGTAGAACACCTCAGTCAGTCTCATGCCTCTGAACAAAGAACAAAGAAAATTACAGCACAGGAACAGACCCTTTGGCCCTCCAAGCCTGCGCCGATCCAGATCCTCTATCTAAACCTGTCGCCTATTTTCCAAGGATCTGTATCCCTCTGCTCCCTGCCCATTCATGTATCTGTCTAGATACATCTTAAATGACGCTATCTGCTTGATGTCCATAGCCCCATCAAGTCCACATACAGTCTTCTTCAGAATTATCAATTGTTTCCACTTCCTCCTTTCTCATAGGCAATATATTCTGAATCATCATTATTCACTGTGCATGAGCATTGTTCCTGCCGTCCCTGCATCTCTTTCCCGAGGCTTTTAATATGTATCCCCTCATTCCTGTATTATCAGCAAATTGGAACAGCTTTTCTTCTTAACTTCTGAAGCTGTCATAGTCTCGGGCCTTGTTCAAATCATTTGCTCCAAGGAGAACAACCCCAGAATATCCAACTGAACTTTGTAGCTGAAATCCCTCATACTTGGAAGCATCTAGGTAAATCTTCTCTGCACCCTCTGAAAGATTCCCCTAAAGTGTGAGAACCATAATTGGACACAATGCTCTAATTGTGGTCTAACCGGAGCTTTATAAATGTTCAGTATAAAGGTTCATTACCTTCAGCTGCTTCAACATCTTTGCCTCCATCTTTTCTTTTTATTGATTTGTGGGATGTGGACATCACTAGCTGGCCGGCATTTTTATTGTCCGTCCCTAGTTGTCCTTGAGGGGGTGATCTGCATTCTGGAACCGCTGCTGTCCATGTGCTGTAGGTAGACCCACAATGCTGTAAGGGAGGAAATTCCAGGATTCTGACCCAGCAACACTGGAAGAATGTCGATATATTTCCAAGTCAAGATGGTGAGTGGCTTGGAGGGGAACTTGCAGGTGGTGATGTTCCCATGTATCTGCTGCCTTTGTCTTTCGAGATGCAAGTGGTCCTGGACTTGGAAGGTGCTGTCTAAGATCTTTGGTGAATTTCTGCAGTGCAGCGTGTAGATAGTACACACTGCTGCTGCTGATCATCAGTGGTGGAAAGAATGGATGCTTCGGGATATGGAGCCAGTCAAGCGGCTGTTTTGTCCTGGATGGTGTCAAGCTTCTTGAGTGTTGTTGCAGCTGCTCCCATCCAGACAAGTGGGAAGTATTCCATTACAATCCTGACTTGTGCCTTGTAGATGATGGACAGGCTTTCAGAAGTCAGGAAGTTAATTACCCGCCACTGTATTCCCAGCCTCCGACCTGCTCGTGTAGCCACTGTGCTTATGTGGTGAGTCCATTTGAGTTTTTAGTCAATGATACCCCCCAGGATGTTGATAGTGGGGGATTCAGTGATGGTAACACCATTGAATGTCAAGAGGTGGTGATTAGATTGTCTGCTATTCGTGATCGTCATTGCTGCCATTTGTGTGGCGTGAATACACACATCATAAGGTCAGATGTGCGATCTTCATGACGATTGCACAATGTTCAGCACCATTCGTGATTCCTCAGATACTGAAGAGAGGTTGGTGTAGACAATGTTATAATGAGAAACAAGGAGATGACAGACCAATTGAATATATACTTGGGTTCAGCCTTTACAAGGAAGACACAAATTTTTTTCTTCTATTGTTTTGTGGGATGTGGGCGTTGCTGGCTGGCTGGCATTTCTTGCCCATCCCTAGTTGCCCTTGAGAAGGTGGTGGTGAGCTGCCTTCTTGAACAGTCCCAAAAATATTGGGGAACATGTTCTAGCAAGAGGGAAGAACTGAAGGAAATCTCTAGTAGGGAAATGGTGGTGGGGAAATTGAAGGGGTTTAAGCCAATAAATTCTCAAGGCCTGATAATTTATAGCCCATTATTGAAGGAAGTGGTTGTAGAAATCATTGGCGGTAGTCATCCAAGATACTGTAGACTTTGGAACAGTTTCCATGGATTGGAGGGTAGCTAATATAACCTCACAATTTGAAAAGGGAGGTAGAGAGAAAATTGGGAAAGAGACTAGTCAGCCTGATGTCAAAAATGAGTAATATACTAGAGTTCATTGTGAAAGATTTAATAACTGAGCGCTTGGAAAATAGTGACAGGATCAGACAAAGTCAGCATGGATTTACAAAAGGGAAGTCATACTTGACATATCTACTGGAATATTTTGAGAATATAACTGGTAGAGTTGATAAGGGAACCCCACTCAATGTGGTTTACTTGGACTCTCCAGAAGGCTTTTGATAAGGTCCCAGATAAGAGATTAGTGTGTAAAATTAAGCTCGTATAGTGACATAGAGAACTGGTTCTTGGACAGGAAACAAAGGATAAAAATAAATGGGTTTTTTTCCAAGTGGCAGGTAGTGACTCATGGTGTACTGAAGGAACCAGTGCTAGGACCTCAGCTGTGTGCAATATCTTTCAATGATTTAGATGATGGAACTAAATATAAAATCTCCAAGCTTACAGCTGACGTAAGGCTGAGTGGGAGGGTGAGCTGTAAGGAGGGCGCAGACATGCTTCAGTGAAATTTTAACAAATTGAGTGAGTGGGTAAATGCATGGCAGATGCAATATAATGTGAATAAATGCAAGGGTATCACTTTGGTAGCAAAAACAAGAAGACAGATTATTATCTGAATGGCGATAGATTGGGAAAAGGGGGAGGTGCAATGAAATCTGGGTGTCCTTGTATGCCAGTCGCTAAAAGTAAACATGTAGGTGCAGCAGGTGGTGAAGGCAAATGGTATGTTGGCCTTCACGGTGAGAGGATTCAAGTGCAGGAGCAGGGATGTCTTGCTGCAATTTTACAGCGCCTTAGTTAGACCACACCTGTAGCATTGTGTGCAGTTTTCATCTCCTTCTCTGAGGAAGGATGTTCTGACTTTGGAGGGAGCGCAGCAAAGGTTTACCAGACTGATTCCTGGGATGACAGAACAGATATATGAAGCTAACCAATGCAGTCTATGTTCACTGGAGTTTAGAAGAGTGAGAGGCAGGAGATCTCATACAAAATTCTAACTGGACCAAAAAGAAATAAATGCAAGAAGGATGTTCCCTAGAACCAGAGATCACGGCCTCAGGATACTGGGTAGGCCATTTAGGACTGAGATGAGGAGAAATTTCTTCACCCAGAGAGTGGTGAACCTGTGGAATTCTCTGCCACAGAAAGTGGTTGAGACCAAAACATTGCATGTTTTCAAAAAGGGGGTTGCAGATAGTCCTTTGGGCTGAAGGAGTTAAAGGCTGTGGAGAGAAAGCAGGAACAGGGAGCCAAGTTGAATGATTAACGATGGTCATATTGAGTATTGAAGGGATTACTAGCCTACTCCTGTTTCTTTTTCTGTTTGAATGCAATAGGACCTGGACAATATCCAGTTTTGATCTGACAGGTGGTAAGTAATATTTGTGCACCACATGTGCCAAGCAATGACCATGTCCAACAAGAGAGAAACTAACAATCCTCTTTTGTCATTCAATGCCATTAGCATCGCTAAATCCTTCACTATCGACATCGTTGACTAGAAGCTATTCAAAGTCTGGGAAATCTGCGTAAAATAACTCACCTCTTGTCTCCCCAGAGCCTGTCCATTATCTACAAGACACAAGTCAGGAGTGTGATAGAATACTTCCACTTGCCTGGATGGGTGCAGCTTCAACAACACACAAGAAGCTCAACACCGTCCAGGACAAAACAGCCCGCTTGACTGGCATCACATCCCGAAGCATCGCTTTTTCCATCACTGACGATCAGTAGCAGCAGTGTGTTCTATCTACAAGATGCACTGCAGAAATTCACCTAAGCCCCTTAGATAGCACCTTCCAAACACACGACCACTTTCATGAGCTGAAGTCATGGGTACATGCTAACAATCCTGTGGAAAGTGTAATCCCCTGTATTCTGGTCAATATATAGAAGATATAGAATGTGGGGAAATAAATAGCAATATATTGAAAAATGTCCATATTACAGAGGAGGACGTGTTAGATGGCTTAAAATGCAGAAACGTGGATAAATCCCCAGGACCTGATCAGGTGTACCCTAGAGCTCTGCGGGAAGCTAGGGAAGTGATTGCTGGGCCCCTTGCTGAGATATTTGTATCATCAATAGCCACAGATGAAGTGCTGGAAGACTGGAGGTTGGCTAATGTGGTGCCACAAATTAAGAAAGGTGGTAAGGAAAAACCAGGGAACTGTAGATCTGTAAGTCTGACATCAGTGTCGGCAAGTTATTCGAAGGAATCCTGAGGGATCGAATTTACATGTATTTGGGAAGGGAAGAACTGATTAGATATAGTCAACGTGGCTTTGTGCATGGGAAATCGTGTCTCACTAACTTGATTGAGTTTTTTGAAGACGTAATGAAGAGAATTGATGAGAGCAGAGCGGTGGATGTGATCCATATAGACATCAGTAAGGCATTCGACAAGGTTCCTCATGGTAGACTGGTTAGCAAGGCTAGATTACATGGAATAGAGGGAGAACTAGCTATTTGGATACGGAACTGGCTCAAACGTAGAAGACAGAGGGTGGTGGTGGAGAGTTGCTTTTCAGATTGGAGGCCCGTGACCAGCAGTGTGCCACAAGGATCGGTGCTGGGTCCACTGCTTTTCGTCATTTATGTAAATGATTTGGATGTGAACATAGGAGGTATGGTTAGTATGTTTGGAGATGACACCAAAATTGGAGGTGTAGTGGACACTGAAGAAGGTTACCTCAGAGTACGACAGGATCTTGATCAAATGGGCCAATGGGCTGAGGAGTGACAGATGGAGTTTAATTTAGATAAATGTGAGGTGCTGCAGTTTAAAAAGGCAAATCAGGGCAGGTAAGGTCCTGGGGAGTGTTGCTGAACAAAGAACCTTGGAGCGCAGGTTCATAGTTCCTTGAAAGTGGAGTCATAGGGAGACAGGATAGTGAAGAAGGGGTTTGGTATGCTTGCCTTTATTGGTCAGTGCATTGAATACTGGAGTTGGGAGGTCATGATGAAGCTATACAGGACATTGGTAGGGCCACAGAAGTACTGTGTGCAATTCTGGTCTCCCTGCTATAGGAAGGATGTTGTGAAACTTGAAAGGGATCAGAAAAGATTTACAAGGATGCTGCCAGGGTTGGAGGGTTTTATGCATAGGGAGAGGCCACATAGGCTGGGGCTATTTTACCTCGAGCATCGGAGGTTGAGGGGTGACCTTATAGAGGTTTATAAAATCATGAGGGGCATGGATAGGATAAATGGACAAGGTCTTTTCCCTGGGGTGTGGGAGTCCAAAACCAGAGGGCATGGGTTTAAAGTGAGAAGGGAAAGATTTAAAAGGAACCTAAGGAGCAACCTTTTTCACACAAGAGGGTGGTGTGTGTATGGAATGAACTGCCGGAGGAAATGGTGGAGGCTGGTACAATTACAACATTTAAAAGGCATCTAGATGGGTATATGAATAGGAAGGGTTTAAAGGGATATGGGCCAAATGCTGGCAAATGGGACTGGATTTATCTAGGATATTTGGTCGGCATGGAAAAATTGGTCCAAAGGGTCTGTTTCCGTGCTGTACATCTCTATGGCTCTATTTATTCCTCAACCAGGACTGAAAATGAATTAAATGGTCATTCAACCAATTGTTTTTTGTGGGTTCTTGTTGCACAGTGTCTTTCAAATTTCGCTGTTCTTAACAGGAACAGCAAAAGCTTAGTAGAGATCTGGCGATTACAACATTCATTGATCAGCTGTCAACTGCTTTAGACGTTCCAGCAATGTGAAAGGTGCTACAGAACCGCAGGTTGTTTCTTTCAGTGGCTCATACATGCTTTGGTATTCTTGCAGCCTGAGAATCTCATTGTAAGTTTGCTCACACGCTCGGCACTACCTGGCTCGCTGCTGACTGGCAGAGACGGACGTTTCGGGCAATCGTGTAGTACTGCTTCGGCTGCTGCTAGCGTCCTGGCTTCACTCTCCTCCACCCACCATCCAACTCGGACAAGATCCCACACTCTCCTCGTGGAGAATGGTGCTGAGAGTTCTCTGTATCGCAGTGACAGGACCATTATGGAAGAGAGGTAGGAAACCAAAGCCCTCGATATCATGGAACCAGGTAGAGAGGGACTGTCTTATGAGAAGAGATTAAGTAGATTGAGTCTGTTCTTGTTACAGTTTAGAAGATTGAGAGGTGACCTTATTAAAACATACAAGATTCTTACAGAGCTTGACAGGGTAGATGCAGAAAGGTTGTTTCCCCTTGTGTGAGAGTGTAGGACTAGAGGGCATACTCGCAGAATAAGCATTTGAGACAGATGTGGAAGAATTCCTTCAGAGTGTAGTGAATCTGTGGAATTCTTTACCACAGTGGGCTGTTGAAGCTGCATCATTAAGTTTATTTAAGGCAGAGATATGTAGATTTGTAATCAGTATGGGAATCAAGGATTATGGATAAAAGGTAGGAAAGTGGAGTTCTGCGATGATCTCATTGAATGGTGGAGCAGACCTGATGGACTGAATGGTCTATTTCTGCTCCTACATTTATGGAAGCAGAATACCACGAAGGTGTGAAATCTCAGAAACAAACAGAAATGCAGCAAATATTCGAATACCTATTGTTTAGGGATCAGTCAGCTCACTTGGCTCAACAGCTAGAGGGTACTGCAGAATGACACTAAAGGAGTGGGTTCAATCTGCAGACTGGCCATGGTGGTTTGTGGTGACCTGCCCCCATGCCTTGCTGCGTGCCTGATGTGGAGTGGTGCTTCCTAAAGCTATACTGTATAACCATTTGCCCTCTCTGCCATGATGAGGGATGCCTGTGGTCCCTTGTGGGCGATGGTAAAGGCAAATGAACTACAGTAAAATCTTAAAGTTGTATCATATGGGAAATGCAGGTCAAACCAAGCAGCCAAGCAACCTCATAACTGATAGTACAGCAAGTGAATGGGTCATGTACACTACCACAGTCTTGTGTGGGAAATGCCCTGCGTCTTTCTGCATTGTTCTTTCAAACCTGTAAACCTCGCCAAAAGGGAGAAAGATTCAAAGCGTTTGAGAAGACTCTGATGACCTATCACCTTCTCTGCTGTCAGCAACCAGGTCACCACGTGAACAGGCTTGAAGTCTAAAAGATTATGTTCATGGGATGTGGGCATCATTGGCTGGGCCAGTGTTTATTGCCTGTTCCTAGTTGCCCTTGGTAAGGTGGTGGTGAGCTGCCTCTTAAACCATGGAGGCCCCCTTGATTGTAGATAAAACTGCACTGCTCTCAGAGAGGGAATTTCAGGTTGGCAAAAGATTGTCCCATTTGATTCTAATTTTGTTTGCACCCATTAATGCCAAATGTGTCAAGTGTGGCCTTGGAACAATATCGTCTTCCCTTTAGTGTTGCTGGCTCAAAAACATGCAACCATAAAATAACCTGGGCCTTGCACTGAAACTAGTTATAAAAGCATAAGAATATGTGAAATAGGAGCGTGAGTAGGCCATTCAGTCCCTCAAGCCTGCCCCACTATTCAACAAGATCATGCCTCATCTGCCCCAGACCTCAACTCCTCTTTCGTGTGAGCTCCGCATAGCCCTCAACTTCCTGACATTTCAAAAATCTATCCATCTCCTATTTAAATACTTGCAGTCATCTGGGACAGAAAATTGCAGAAACTTACTACCCTCTGGGAGAAGAAATCCCTTCACACTTCAGTTTTAAATGGGTGTTCCTTTATTCTGTGATTATGTTCCCTAGTTTGGAATTCTCCAAAATAAATATAGACCGTTCTGATCCATTCAGGATGGGTGGACTGATTCTTTATTTGTAACACGGCTCCATTGGTCAGAACGAAGTTTGAAATTCAAATGGAAGGTGATATTGCTAAATGTGAAACGACATATTGCTCAGAATCAGGAATGAATCAACTAGGTTCCTTTTTGCAAACAAAACTTGCCTGGGCAAAAACGTAAAGTTTATTAACAAAAGTTAAAATAACTGTCCAAAAGACAGCGGCAAGATGATAATGTCACTGGACTCATCTTGCAGAGACTGAGGCTGATGCTCTGGGACCATGGGTTCAAATCCAACCTTGAGAGCTGGTGGAATTGAAATTAATTGATAAAATCTGGAATTGAATATTAGTCTTAGTAAAGGTAACCATGAGACTGTAATCAGTTGTCATAAATATCCATCTGGTTCACACATATCCTTTCAGGAAAGAAACCTACCATCCTTACCTGGTCTAGCCTACATGTGACTCCAGACCCACAGCAATGTTATTGACTCAACTGTTCTCTGAAATATCCTTGCAAGCCACTCTGTTCAAGGGAGTGGCCAATTAGACATGGCCAACAATACCGGCCTTGCCATTGAGACCCACATCCCATGAAAGAATGAAGGAAAAAAATGTATGATTATCCTTCTTGGAAAGATAGCACAGTTTCCAAAAAAAAAACCTCAAAACTTCACAGTGTTATCTTGAAGGTATTTTGGCCAAGTAAGTGTTAAATTCAGGGGAAAAGAAAATTACTTGCAGATTGTCCCAAATGTTGGTCTGTAGCTAAAGTCAGTTTACATGCAATCTGGTGGCATTGGGATTTTTCCTGGATCAGGTACAGTTGGCTAAATGTGCTTTTTCTGGAGACTGGTGGCAGTTTCCAAATTCTCCCTTATTTGGTTTTATTACTGTCACATGTACCAAGATACAGTGAAAAGTGTTGTCTTATGTGCTTTACAGGCAGATTGTACTATACAAGTGCATCAGGGTAACAGAACAGAGTGCAGGATACAGTTTTACAGCTGCCGAGAAGGTGTAGAGAGAGGTCAGCATTAAAATAATATTATAAATTAATATTTCAGATGACACTTTTTATTATAAAACAAAGGGATTAAAAATTAGATGGTTATAACTAGCCTTGGAGACTATGGTGCATCTAATTAGTTTATGGAGAAAAAGCAAGAATGTGACTTTGAACTGGATTGTCAGCAACAATCATTGTATGGTGGAGCAGGCATGGATGGCCAAATAGCCAACTCTTGTACCTGGTACCTAGCATTTAACTGCTAGTTCATGTTTAGTGTATCAAAACATGTCTAATTTTTTATCTTTAACATGTTTTATCTTTGCTACACCAGCACGTCAGCAAGTGCAGGCTCGGGTAGATCTCTGCTTCTTGCCAACTTCGCTTCAACAGAAATGAGTCTTCATGCTATTTATATGCATGAGGTAAGGACGAAATTACTTCAGATTTATCACAGGGTTGGATAGAAAGTAAAGCCCCCTCTACATTGTCCCCATTAAAAATCTCTGGACAGAGACAGCACAGGGTTAGATACAGAGTAAAGCCCCTCTACTCTCTTACACTGAAAGTAAAGCTACCTCCACACTGTTCCATAAAACATTCACAGGACAGGGACAGCACAGGGTTAAATACAAAGTAAAGCTTCTTCAACCTATTAAGCACTTTGTGAGCCTCTGAATGATAGACCTTGAATCAGCAATCTTTTTGTGTGTCCTGTGCTGGGCTAGTGTTTGAAATGCTGGTTATATTGTTTCTTTGGGGAATGGTGTTGTATCAGAAGATGACTAACATTGAAGATGAGATGCAGCTCTGTTCCCTGGCCCTGAGATTGTTTAAGTGTCAAACCCACGATATAACTCCTGTCTTTTTAAAAAATAAAAAAAGCAGAAGTGACAAAGAAGATTGATGAGGGCAGGGTGGTGGATGTTGTCTACATGGAATTTAGCAAGGCCTTTGACAAGGTCGCTCTTGGCAGGCTGATACAGAAGGTAAAGTCACATGGGATCGGTGGTGAGCTGGTAAGATGGATTCAGAACTGGCTAGGTCAGAGAAGACAGGGTAGCAGTGGGATGGTGTTTTTCTGATGGAGATCTGCGACCATTGGTGTTCTTCTGGGATCCTTGTTGTTTGTTTGTAATATATATAAATGATTTGAAAACAAATGTAAGTGGTCTGATTACTAAGTTTGCAGACAACACAGATTGGGAGAGCTACGGATAGTGAAGAGAATTGCCAGAAGAATATAGATTGGCAGAAGAAATGGTATGCGGAATTTAATCCTGACAAATGCAAGGTGATGCACTTTGGAAGGTCAAAAGTATACAGAAAATAGCAGAACCCTTAGAAGCGTTAATATACAGAGGGAGCTAGAAATACATATCGACAGTTCACTGAAAGTGTAAACAGAAATAGATAATGTGGTCAAAAAGGCATATGGCATCATGCTTGCCTTCATTGGTCAGGGCACAGAGTATAAAAATCAGCAAGTAATGTTGCAGCTGTATAGAGCAGTAGTAAGGCCATATCTGGAATATTGTGTACAGTTCTGGTTGCTATGCTATCAGAAGGATTTTGGAGGCTTTGGAGAGGGTGCAGAAAAGGTTTACCAGTATATTACCTGGTTTGGAGGGTATTAGCTGTGAGGAGAGATTGGACAAACTTGGTTTGTTTGCACTTGAACGTTAGAGGCTGCAGGGCGCCCTGATGGAGGTTTACAAAATTATGAGAGGCATGGATTGGGTGGATATTCAGAGTCTTTTTCCCAGGATAGAAATGTCAATTATAGGGAACGTAGGCTCAAGGTAAAAGTTTAAAGGAGATGTGAGAGGCAGGTTTTTTTTTCACACAGGGTGGTAAGTGCCTGGAATGCACAGCCAGAGGTGGTGGAGGCGGATACAATAGCAACATTTAAGAGACAGCTTGACAGATACGTGAATAGGCAGGGAATACATGGATATGGACTGCTTAGAGTCGAAAGGTTTTTAGTTTAGAAAGGTGTTGTCTCGGCGCAGACTTGGTGGGCCAAAGGGCCTGTTTCTGTGCTAGGCTGTTCTTTGTTCTTTGTTTTTACAAAGAACTAACAACATAGTTGCAATTACATCATACCTTTCATAACTTCCCATAATGCACCACATCTAAAATTGTACTGTTGAGATGAAGCTGGAAAGCCAGCAGTGAATTTACACACAGTAAGACCTCACAAACACCAAGGTGCTATTTATCATATCAGCTGGTCTGTTTTTTGGTTGAGGACCAGTGATAACTCCCCTTTTATTTGTAAAATAGTTCATGCTGTTTTCACCATCTTGGAGCAGACCAGTTTGTGATCTCTTGTGATCAAACTTTTGGTTTAAGATCTCTTCCAAGTAACAGCACTGGTACAGCACAGTCTCTGCGTTGCAGTGAGACTGGTGGTTCAGGTTTTGTGAAAGCTTCTCTGGCATAGGACTAGAAGCCACAACCTCTGACTCTGAGATGGCAGTACTGGTCACTGAGCCTCGGATGAGATGCTAGGAAGTTTTTTTTAATCCATTTATGGAACATGGGCATCGCTGGCTGGCCAGCCTTTATTCTCCTTCCCTAGTTGCCCTTAAGATGGTGGTTGATGCAGTCAATGTGCTATATGTTGACCCACAATGACCTTAGGGAGGGAGTTCATTGTGAGAACATTGCTGTCCCAGAGATCATCATCATACAGTGATTTCCAAGAGAGGCGACAGCCTACACACTGAGGTTCCACTGCAATTATAATATTGAGAATTGCATGCAGCCCATTCCCGTGGGAAGGAAGAAACAAATGGTGAGGGTTGAAGAAGGGGAGAAGATAGCTGGATAGTATTGGAGTCCATCCTGACAAAAGGATATCAAGGGAGGGAAAGGTTGCAATAAAGACTCAAGGAAGATACCAAAGCTGAGTACTTTTGCCAGTCAGGATTTATTTTTTAGTGTCACCATAGTCTTACCAGACCTTGGGGCTGCTGTCTCATTAGAGGTCACCACGACTCAGGTGAGGGGAGAATTTGGGAAGGAGAGTCCTTGATGGAAACCTCAGCCAGTGAAGGAATTGAACCCACTCTGTTGGCAGCACTCTACATCACAAATTAACCATCCAGCTAAATGAGCTAAACTGACCTCCACTGATGAGGAATGATGACCTGACTGGGCTGTTTTCTCCGTAAAAGAGAAGTCGTAGCAATTACCCAATAGAGATGTGTAAAATTATGAAGGGATTTGAAAGATTAGATATCGGAACAATGTTACCACCTGTAGGGAACCATTTAACTACAGGCCATAAATATGAGATAACCACCATTTAATCCAATTGGAATTCAGGAGAAACATCTTTCCCTGTGGGTGGGGAGAATGTGTGACTCACTCCCATAGGGAGTACTCGAGCCAAATAGGTTAGATCTATCTCACGGGAGGCTAGACAAGCAACTGAAGGAGAAAGGAATAGCAAAATGGGCAGATAGTTTGAGGTGGTGGGAATGCCAGGAAGCTCATGTGAGGCATCAACACCAGCATAGAAACAGAAGGCCAAAGGGCCTTTCTCAGTTGTGTAAATTCTGTGTAACTGCGACTAAAGTCGAGGATTTATACCTGCAGTGGTGGCCAGCCTCATTTAACAAGGTTGCTAAGGTCCTACAGGAACATGGAAGCAGGAATGGGCCGTTCAGCCATTTGAGATTACCACCCCCTGCCAGTCTAGGCTGTAGCTTATCATCTACATCAATGTCATTTTATCACGTTATCTTGGTATCTCCTGATACTTTTATTTATGTTGAAACCCTTCCTGGAAGAAGCTACTGATGGTGGAGGGTATGAGAAGGACAGGCCAGTGAAAGAAGGGCAATAGAGGTTACTTCTTTGTTAGGAGAGCAATGTGTAGACTCCTTTCCTCATTTGTGTTGTTCTGTCTTGCAGCTTCACCAACAGAGTGCACAGCCCCAGTATATGGCACAGGGATCCCAGACTCTCAGTTCAGTCACTGAACAACCCACTGCTCCAGGTACCTCTCCATCGTCTTACTGACCACACAGCAAGAAGAGCCAAGGCAAACATCAGACAACTGAAACAAAAATAGCAGACAGGAAAATGTGAATTGGGAGAAAGCAGTGTTAGACTTGGAATGTAGAAGGAAGGGCTGATACAACAAGGAGAAAGTAGTGTGGTGTTGTACATGTGAAGCCTATCTAGGGAAAGGATGACCGAGAGATCTTTCAGAGAGAGGGTGAAACATTGTATTGATGAGTTGAATGGCTGCTTCTGTGCTGTACAATTCACAAGTTATAGGAGAATACTGAGTAAATTATCAGAATGGTGAGAGATGCAGAGGGGCAGGGTGTCAGAGTGTTTGAATCATAAATCACAGAGAACATCAAAAGACAGTATGGAACAAAGGGTATGATTCTAAAGTGTGTGTAGGAGCAGGGAACCTGGCTGTGAATATGTGTAAGTCTTTAGAATTAGACCTTGGATGAAGCACTGTACAGTTCTGGGTACCACTGTATAGGAAGGATGTGAGTGCATTGGCAAGAGTGCAGAAGTGATTCACAAGAATGGCCCCAGGGATGAGAAACTTCAGTGATGAAGATAGATTGAAGAAGTTGTCACTCTCCTCTTTGGAGAGAAGAAGCCCGAGAGGAGATTTGATAGAGGTTTTCAAAATTATGAGGAGTCTGGACAGAGTAGATGGGGAGAAACTGTTGAAGGATCGAGAACCAGAGTTTTAAAAAGCACAATTTACAAAAGAGAAGGTGCAAAGAGAGAAGAAAGAACAGTTTCTCAGTGTGTAGTTAGGGTATGAAATGCACTGCCTGATGGTTTGGTGGAGCAGGTTCAGTTGAGCCATTCAAGAAGGCACTGTTTCTATTTAAATAATCTGCAATGTGGAAGATTGCGGAGAGAAGGCAATAGACTGGCACTAAGTTGAAATGTTCAGACACCCAGTACAGGCGCAGTGAGCTGAATAGCCTCCTTTTACAACATTTCATGAGATCCAAACTAATGCTGTGGGGTCACAGGTTCACATCCCATCTGGAATTTAGCTGCAACAGAAAAGTACTTTGACTCTCAGGTCACTTGAACGGCTGGTTTGTGATGCAGAGCGAAACCAACAGCCGGGGTTCAGTTACCGTACCGAGGTTATCATAAAGGTGCCACCTTCTCCACCTTGTCCCTCTTGCTAGAGGCATCATGACTCTCAGGTTAAATGCAGCATCAATCGCCCCTCTCTAATGAGGAAAGTTCATCAAATGTTGTTGTTTATTGTGAAGGGAGTTGAATATAGTTCCAGGTTATAGTCATACAGAGTATTGGTGAGAACACCTCTGGAGTACTGTGTATGTATTGGTCGCCTCATTGAAGGAAGCTTGGAAATGCATTGGAAGAAATTCAGAGGTTTCTAAGACTAATACCTGGAATAGATGTTTTATCTTATGAGGAGAGGTTGGACAAGCTGGGCGTGTATTAACGGGAGTTTCGAAGAGTAAACGGCACCTTGATTGATACATGTAAGATTGATGGGGTTGAGAGAAAAAAATATTTATTTTTCCAAAGGATTTGAGAAGGAGAAACAACCATAACATTTGAGCCAGGCCGTTGAGGGGTGATGTGAGAAGCACTTGTCTTTACAATAGAAAATGGGATTGAAAGCTGTGCTCCTCTGACTCCAATATATATCCGTATCTCCAACTGTATTGTAACACAGAGTCATCTCAGCTCCCAGAGACTATCTATAACTCCCAGATTGTTTACCTGCCTGAGAAGCAAACAATATTTTGCACCGCAGCACAGGGCTGCAATCGATGTGGTAGGGGAAGTGACCAAATGAGGTAGCTTTTAAGAACCCTCTTCAAGGGGAGATGGTGAGGTTTACAGAAGAAGTTCCAGAGTTTAGAGCTCAGGGAGCTGAATGTACAGCCACCAGTGAGGGAGCGATGAAAATTGGCAATGATCAAAAGACCAGAATGAGCAAAATGCGGATATCTGAGAGCTGGTGTTCAGAGACATAGGCCAAGGTGAGGTCTATCTTCTTGTTCAGTTTCCCTCCCCCAAAGGGGGTTCTTGATACACACATTCACCAGGATGAGAGTCACCAGCTGTACAGGTGGAGGGCACTCAGACTGCGAGGAGATTGTAAACAGCGAGGAGAATGTGAGAAGTGGGTGATGTATTCTCATTCCTCGTTCTCTCTGTATCCAATAATGAAGAACTCTGCTTGCTGATCAGTCGTGTCTTTCTCTGTCCCTCAGTGCCCCCGTTGACTTCACCAGAAACACTGACGGCTTATTCCCAGCTGCACCTCGGGGGCTGGGCAGAAGAGTCTGAGGGGGAAGATCCCATTACTGACCCACAAGAACCACAGGACCATGAGGAAGAAGTGCCTTCTAAGATGGACAGGGTTAGTGTCTTAAATATTTAAATGTACAATCCCTTTCTCTCCTCAAAGCTGTCACTCTCACTGGCACACGCACTGACTCTCACAGGGATACAGACTCACACGCACTGACTCACGTTGGGGCACGAGGTCCCCCACACACACACTGATTCTCACTGGGATATGGGCTCCTACACACACAGACTCTCACTGGGGTGCCGGCTCCCACACGCACACCCACTGACTCTCACTGGGGTATGGATCCCACACACGCACACTGACGCTTGCTGGGGTACAGGGTCCCACACGCATTGACTGTCACTGGGATACAGTCCCACATGCAGAGACACACACACCCTCTCACTGGTGTATGGGTCCCACAGACACACACACACACTGATTCTTGCTGGGATATGGGTCACGCGTGTACTCTCTCTCGTGCGCGCATGCTCTCTCTCGCGAGGGTACAGGTCTCACAGACACACTGACTGTCACTGGTGTATGAGTCCCACACTCGCAGACAACAGTTCTCATTGGGGAAATTTTTTCTTTAATTTTTCATTTATAAAGTGTGAGCAGAGTTGGCTCAGACAGCATTTATTACCCATCCGAAACATGACCTGGCGAAGTCCGTGGTGACACACCATCCAAAAATGCTGAAGCCGATGGAGGGTTACTCCCAGTGCTGTTAGGGAGGGAGTTCCAGGATGTTGACCCTCTGACAGCCAAGGAACGGGGACTTAGTTCCAGGTTAGCATGGTGTATGTTTTGGATTGTCATAAAATCAAGTGTTGTCCCTTTTAGGGAGGGAACCTATCGATTCCAGTTCCAAACTGCCACCTTACGCAAGGTGAACACATAGGGACAGATGGTCTGAGGTGCATTTGTTTTAATGCGAGAAGTATAGTAGGTAGGGCAGATGAACTTAGGGCTTGGATTGGTACCTGGGACAATGATGTTATTGCCATTACTGAGACTTGGTTGAGGGAAGGGCAGGATTGGCAACTAAATATCCCAGGATATAGATGCTTCAGGCGGGATAGAGAGGGAGGTGAAAGGGGTGGAGGAGTTGCATTATTGGTCAAAGAGGATATCACAGCTGTGCTGAAGGAGGGCACTATGGAGGACTCGAGCAGTGAGGCAATATGGGTGGAGCTCAGAAATAGGAAGGGTGCCGTAACAATGTTGGGGCTGTACCACAGGCCTCCCAACAGCGACCGTGAGATAGAGGTACAAATGTGTAGAGAGATTATGGAAAGATGTAGGAGCAATAGGGTGGTGGTGATGAGAGATTTTAATTTTCCCAACATTGACTGAGATTCACTTAGTGTTAGGGGTTTAGATGGAGCAGAATTTGTAAGGAGCATCCAGGAGGGTTTTATGGAGCAGTATGTAAGGGGCCATACTGGACCTGGTGTTGGGGAATGTTCCCGGCCAGGTGGTTGAAGTTTCAGTAGGGGATTACTTTGGGAATAGTGATCACAATTCCGTAAGTTTGAGAATACTGATGGACAAAGACGAGAGTGGTCCTAAAGGAAGAGTGCTGAACTGGGGGAAGGCGAACTATAGCAAAATTCAACAGGAGCTGGGGAATGTGGACGGAAAGGGTACAGGCAGACAGTGCAGGGATCCCCTGTGGCCATTCCCCTCAAAAAC